ACTTTTTAAAAAACAGGTGGTGACTATCTTGTAATCTTTCTGTCGCCTCTCCTAGAATGTTCTTGAAGGGGCTGATACAGATGCCGCATTTAGGACTAAGTCCTCAATAGTCTGTAATTCTTAGCACTTTGACCAGTTATGAGACTTACATGAACTATTGCCCACTGTAAAGAAAGGCTTCTCTGACCAGGGCTGAGGGTAAAAGCCATTACCTGTCTTGGGAGTCCCAGCCGTGAACCTTGTTAAGGTTCTAGTTAAGATATGCTTGGTGCAATAGCCGCATGACTGTTGTAGGACAACCGGTTAATTTCTGATTGGACTTGAGGCCTGCTTCACAGGGGGAATACGCATCTGACACTGTAAAACTGGTCAGAGCCTATGGCTGAGTAGACCACAGGCCCTAGCAGGAAACCTGCTACGTGTGTTTTGCTAAAAGTTTGCGCAGTCAAGCTGACTTCTGACCGTGTGTACACCACTAGACTGATGCTGCTCTCAGCCTCGGTCAAAGCACCTTCTTTTTACAGTTTTCGCTTGGACATTAGAGCAATGCTCATTGGAATTCAGTGGTTCAGGATGCACCATCATTAGAAAACACAGAAAAGGAAAGCTATTTGAAAAGAGTGAAGATATCAGAAAGAGCTCTCAGAGAACGAAACTCATCCCTACATTGTTTATTTCTCTATTTGTATATTTGTCTCTGATTTAAAAACTCACACAGTTTAAAACAGCACACGAAAGACAGTAAAAACCACGTTCCTTTCTTCCCAAGGATAACCACCCCAGCCTTTTGAGGCTTTTCTTTCTGAGACCCAGCCTTTACAGAGCACTGCAGATTCCCACACGAAGCCACGCATACACTGTAGAGAAGTGCCCTTCACACGCCCTCTTACACACACACACACACACACACACACACACGAGTACACGCTTCAAACCACAAAGTATTCCATCTTATGAGTTTGGAATAATATACCAAATCAAGGCTTTTTGAGGGGTGGTTTTGTAGTTTTCAGTACTTCACTACTATAAATATATTTGCAAAGACTGATGCTGGCCCTGGCCATACATTTTTGGGCTTTCTTTAGATTTCTTTCTTTCTTTTTTTTATTTTTCAAGAGAGGGTTCCTCTGTGGCTTTGGAGGCTGTCTTGGAACTAGTTCTTGTAGACCAGGCAGATCTCGAACTCCACCTGTCTCTGCCTCCGTGTGCTGGGACTAAAGGTGTGTGCCATCACCGTCTGGCTAGATTTTTTTCTTAATAATTTTAAGTATATTATTTTCATTAGAATTTGTGTTCATTCTTATTTTTCTTTTTATGTTTTGTTTGTTTGCTTGAGATAGGGTCCCACTATGTAGCTCTGACTGTCCTGGAACTTACAGTTTAGACCAGGCTATTAACACTGAGCCTTCATTTACACGTGATAAAATTTCACTGTCATCTTCCATCGTTCTGCTCTCCCTAATAAGATTTTGTGTGTCTTGCTATCATTTGCTTTCCAAAGCTGAGGTACTTCCTTATCTTTAGTATTGTTATTTTAAATTCTCCTCTCTCTCCCTCCCTCCCTCCCTCCCTCTCTCCTTCCCTCCCTCCTCGATCCATACCTTAGTTTTGGAAGGGGAGATTTTGGGGCACCTGCATTCCCTCGTCCCCCCACTTTTCTGAAGCATCTGAACCTGTTATTGAAAGTGAATGTGATTTACTAGTGATTCTCTAAACTCTAAAATTATCCTGTGGAGACATTTAGAGGTTCTAATAAATTCATTTATTGTTCAGGTAAGTAACCTTGTTACTTACATTGAATTTGCCCCTGGTTAGCAGGTAAAGCGAGCAGTCACTCAGGCATGGCAGGCTGAGGGTTTGGACACTGCTTGCCTCTGGCTCTCTCTCCTCTCCTTGTGGTACCCAACACTCCGTCAAAAATGCTCCTTGTTGGCCGATAGGGACCGTGTGTCATCCATCAGGGCTCCCACACTGCCTAAGACTGGCGTTTCTGTGAGAGGCAGCCTAAGACATGGTTGTTCCTCATTTAAAAAAGGAGGAAGGGGAATGCCAGGGAGGGAGGGGGAGAAATTAGTTGAACAGAAAGGGTTTTTTTCCCCCCTAGGAAAGGTTTTTGTTATATTGAGCAACTTAGGGAAAGTTAAGTTTAATTTTTGAATATCAAAGACTCTCTTTAGATTTATTTATATTTGAAAATTTGTTGCTAGTTCATTTTGTTTTAAACTTCATTTTAAACATTATTCCATTTTATCTATTTATTAAGTGTGTGTGGGGGGGGGTGTGCACATGTGTGGGTCCATGCATGTGCAGACGAGCATGGAAGCTAGAGATTAACCTCCATGTTCTTTCTTAGATGCAATCCATCTTCGTTCTGGGTCTCTCTGGGACCTGGGACTTGCTAGTCAGGTTATGCTGGCAGGACAGTGAACCAACCAGGTAGATACACCTGTTCCTGCCTCCTCAGTGTTAGTGTTACAAGCACAGCTACTATGCTTTTTATGGGCATGGGACCAGATCCTTACCTTGCAAGACGAGCACTTTCTCAACTGGACTTTCTCCTCAACCCCTAACCAAAGGTTTTGTCTTTCCTTTTGACGCTGATGCTACTACACACATTGGTAATCTTCATACTACAGGCAAAATAGGATAGGTATGTTGGTATACAACTGTCATCCCAGCACTTATGAGACAGAGGCAGAAGGGACCCAAGTTCGAGGACTGCATAGGAAGACCTTGTCTCCTGAAACCAAAACTAAACAAAGCAAACGAAACTCTAAAAACAAAGGCAAAGCAGAAAGGTGCAGAAATACACTCTACAAAATATACTCTGTTTCTAAAATCTTCAAACTCACAAGGAAGAAGCAGAAATTTGATTACGATAGGTCAAAATGAGACCAACTTTCACCTAACAAGGTCTTGTTGGTTGCTGTTGATCCATCAGTGTTTTGGCCTCTTTGGAGGCACAGAACATTTTTGTTTGTGCCAAGGAATCCAGAAATAGATTTTTATGTTATAAATTCTTACAGTTATCACAATTCATTGACTCTGACAGGTGTTCAATTACAAGATGTATCATTATCTTATGATATACTAAGAATTAAAAAAAATATTCCCTACCACCTTGGAATTCTGATCTGCTTGACCTGCAATAGGGACAACCTTATTCCAGGAATGTTAACATGTTAAAAGAAAAAAAGTCTCATAGAATAAGTGAGATGGGATACTTTCCTCAACACACAGGAACAAAGAAAATTGATGTCTTTAACAAGCCGTTGATTTCTGTAAATTGTTTTATTTTTACTTTATTTGTAACTGTGTGTACATTTATGTGTCTGGATGAGGACTTATGTTTGTGTGTCTGGTGTCTGCAAGAACCCAAAGAGGCCTGGGGAGTTATAGGCAGGTGTGAGCTGCTTGAGGTGGGTGCTGGGAACTGAACCTGGGTCCACTGGAAGGGTAGTCTAGCTTGTTTCTTTATCTGAAACATTCAATAGTGTGTGAGATAAAAATATTTGTACTTTAAAATTCTATTTATCGTGTTGGAAGTGTGGGTTGCTAGTAAAGTGCTTGCGTAGTGTATATAGGACCATAGGTTCAATCCCCACATTGAAAAAAAGTCTACCCACAAAATATGGTATTTCCAAAAACAAACCTTCCCCTATTGTGCTTTAAGAGAATTTCTAGTTCTCCCCTTTTCGTCCCTGAATAAAGCGATCTAGTCCCTGCATTGCTACCCCACCAAGGCATGGGGAAGCTCGTCCTAACACCTTCTACAGACTTGTCAGCAAAAGCTTCTAATTTCCACTGGAAGGTTCCACTACTCTGTAGAAGTGAATTTCATCACCTAACATAGTCCCTGAGTTAAAGTCTACAGCTCTGCTCCACTCAACACATTCCTGACCATGCTGGGATATTTAACCTCCATATTTCCAATTCCCCTGTTCCCTGGTCAAGGTTGATCAGTGGCCTTTGAGATGTATGAAATTCTACCTGAGCAGTTTATGATTAATACTGTCAGCTGTAAACAGTTGCCCACAGTCTGACCATCTTTATCTAGGTGACCTCTTAGCATGCCTCTTTCTGGTTATTTTACCATCTAAATTTCTGCATACTTGACATCACTTTTACCATCATTTATGTGTCTGATGCCCCCTTCACCCAACATCATGCTATGCAAAATGTGTTGCTAAAGGCTTTAAACTAGTAAATGAATTAGCTATTGCCTTATGCATTGTTATTTGGGTTGTATCAGTTAAAATGAACATTTCTGTATGCAAACCCCTGTCCACATTTTGACTAAAAAGATGTTATGGTTTTAATGGAATTGACTTGTATGGTTAAATTTTTTTCAAAAGAAAAAGAAGTGAAGATAATTTAGCAGTGGATCAGTGCTTATTCTTAGAACACTAACAGACATCGTGTGTCCATAACATAAAGAGGGTTGCTCTCTCTGCCTGGACTCTTAGGGAAGTGCCTGGACCCTACCCTGAGTGAAATGATAGACTCTAGATATCCCCTATGTGGAAGGAATTGGCAATAGGGTGAGAGGATGGGGGGGTAGGGGGGTGCGGGAGGAGGGGAGGGAGAGGGAACTGGGATTGACATGTAAAACAAGCTATTTAAAATTAAAATTAAAATAAAAAATTATTAACCCCACCAAAAATAAATAAAAAATAAAAAATTATAATTAAAGCAAAGAAAGAAGGCTAAATATCGGGGAATGGATGAGTTTATGTAATACAATGATATTAAATATAATATAATATATTGATTTATTTAACATTAAGCATACATGTAGAAATGTCATGGACAGTATTTAAATACTATGCTTTTTATTAGACTCAAAAGCGTTCAGTTGCTGGTGACAACACCAGGTGTGTCTAGATCCAGCAGTCTATTGTCTTCTGCATGTAGGCTCAGACGTGGTAGGTATGCACGCACAGAGCTGTGTGCTTTCAAAACCAAACAGACATTTCTGGTTTTGTTTTGCTTTCTCTCAGGACTAATTCCCAGGACCTCTCTTGCCCTTGTGGCTTGCCTCCTCATTCAGTAAGACTGGCCCCAGCAGAGATGCAGACTCAGAAGGTCCCAGGAAGGAAGCGTGGCCGGCCCCCACTTCACTCCACGCCGGTGCAGATGGCAGTCCATAACCTCTATTCTGCTTCTGCTGGCTCTGTACCGGCGGTGACAATCCCAAAGAAGAGAGGACGGAAACCCAGGTACAAGGTATGCCTCCACCATCTCCTCCTCCCCAGTCATATCCGTCTGGGGCACTGGGGGACCGGGCAGAGCTCTGATGCAAAATGTTATGGAAGACAGGAGCCTAGGAAAACACAGGCGAGGAAATAAGTCTCTCAATGGAGCATGTGACAGACAAGGCCTCATTGTGACAACAGCACACAATGCATGACCTTATGTGTTCTTTTTCGTTTTTCTTTCTTTCTTTTCTTTTTCTTTTTTAACAAGTAGAGAAAGCGAATCACACCAGATGGGGAAGCTATGAGGTGAGCAGATTTTAGGCCACTGCTAAAAAATTAAGCATGTAGCCGGGCGTTGGTGGCACACGCCTTTAATCCCAGCACTCGGGAGGCAGAGGCAGGCGGATCTCTGTGAGTTCGAGGCCAGCCTGGTCTACAGAGCGAGTTCCAGGATAGCTTCTAAAACAATACAGAGAAACCCTGTCTCAAAAAACAAAAACAAAACAACAACAAAAAAACCCAAAAACCAAAAACCATTAAGCATGCATCTAAATGAGAGTGTCAGGCACTCATCTGTCCCTTGTTTATATGCACTAGGGTGACTCTGGAAGTCACTTCTAGAACTTATTCCTCATCTGTTTCCATGGAAGTTGATGTTATTCCTTAGACATTTAAAGTAATGCCAAGAGCAGGCCGATGTCAAAGGATGTAGGAAAAGCTCACTGGATAGGGACTTAGCCAGGGACTCTGGGGTGTTCATTATAGTTTCCTGGTGTCAAATTTGGTTCAAGAGACAGGTCTATGGCAAGAGAGCATCATAAGAACCAACAATATGGAGAGGCTGTGGGTGGGGAGCAGGTCTGATGAAATGACCTCAATCTTATAATCCCACCCCTGTGCTAGAGCAGATCATGAAGGGACTGGTTACTTGAGGGGAAAGAGAAAACAGTATCACCAGGCTTGTTCTCTGCAGGCCTTAGGCTTTCGAAGAGGAGCATCAGAAGTTGTCTTAAAACAAAAGCTGGTGTTTCTATCCTGATACCCAGATACTGCAACCAAATGCAAATTGTCATTTAACTCCCAAGTATCAGGAAAATGTATGGAAATGATTGCAGGTCAGCAGGAAGAGCTTGTAAAAGATCAGGACATGATTCGACCTTTATCAATCAACCTTCTCAAATCTTCAAAATACAAAATAAATAAATAAATAAATGAAACAACAACAACAAAAAACCCAACCCCCAAAATCCCCCAAATCAAAAACAAACAGTCATAGGGGAGATGTTTGTTATTCAAAATTACTTGAGGGTTACTTGCTTTCGTTTTCTTAACTGTTTTTGAGTTTTTATTTATTTCTATTGTATGTGTATGTGTTTGCCTGAATGCCTGTGTACTATGTGTGTGCTGTGCCCGAAGAGGCCAGAAGAGGGCGTTGGATCCCCTAGGATTGATGTTACAGATGGTTGTGAACCGCCATGAAGTTTCTAGGAATTGATCTTGGTCTCTGCAAGTGCATCCAGTTCTCTTAATGGCTGAGCCATCTTTCCAGCCCCTTTATCATCTTTAATTACATGTGTGTATGGAAGCTGGAGTTGTCTATGTGTAGATGTGTGCACATAAGTGCAGCTGCCCACAGAGGCCAGAAGAATTGGCTTCTTCTGAACTTTAGTTACAGGAAGCTGTGAACCACCTCATGTACATGCTAGAAACAGAGTTTGGGTCCTGTGCAAGAGCTGTGTGTTCTCTGAACTGTGGAGCCATCTCTCTTCTTGACCAAAAGAAGTCAAACTCTTCTGCTGGGTATTTTCTGACAGGGAAACCTCTTTTGTTCATGGCAATGCTGACTTTGGAATTGTATATCTGCTCTCAGAAGCTAGCCTGGGTGCCTGTACCAGCTCAGTACCTGCTTGAAATCTGGGAATTGCATTTGAAGGGCTGGGACAGGGCAGATGTTCTGTTTCACAGAGCCAGGGAGCAAGTCCAAGCTCAGAGGGAGTGCATTAAAGCTTCGATTGGCCTTCTTCCTGGTCCCCTGGGGTCTGTGACCCAAGAATGAAAATTACAAACAGACATAGAATTTCTTGGGCCAAGAAAAATGGCCATTCACTCCATGTAACAAACCTGATTTACTCTGGAAGTCTCCTCCCTCCTAAAAGGGATTTTTCCAATATCCCGGACACCTCACAACAGTACACAGCTTAGGTTGGCTGGCTGACACACAGGCCCTGCACAAAGACACCAGGTCTGTTCCCACCACACGAAGAATGTTTTCTTTGGGGATGAGAGGCCACAGTTATCTTTTGAGTCTATTTCCCATATAGTTAGGAAAATGCATGGGCATTATCTCAGACCACATGTTCCCAGACGACTACATACGCCTTAAGCTTAGTGTCCTAGAAGAATACTTCCAAGTCAGGTTCCAGTCTGTGTGGACCATCATCTGTCAGTGATGACACAGGAGAAATAAGATCCATGCGAAACTTTTCACGAAGCTAAGACAATTCCGCAAAAGACTACCCTTTATTCTAAACACATGTTAGTGTGAGTGTTTTTATCAGACATGCATACTGACTGGAGCTGGTGACTTAAAATCTTCTCATTTGGAAAAATAAAGTTGGTAACCTGGCCTCCTAGTTTTATTTTGGTGATTTCCTAGACCCTGACACCTTATTTTACCATTGAGGACAGGACTGTAATTGTGGAAGAGCCAGCAAGTAAATTGTACAGTCTCACTTCACTTACCAAATGACCACTGATTTGGCAGTTTGAAGTATCTGGGACACAGTAGGGGAGCCAGAAGTTGTTAAAAAAAAGCCTGACTAAGCATGGCAGAATCTTACTTGGTCAAACCTTAAAGATCTTATATTTTATTACTAAGAAAATGCTTCTTGGACTTGGACACAGAGACATATGTTTGTGTTACCAGCTGTCTGGAGGCAGAATGATTCTTAGAGTACATGAGTTTGAGACCAGTTTGTGCCTCAAAGTAGTGCTCTGTATCAGTTAAAAATAGTTAGTTAGTTAGTTAGTTAGATAGATAGATAGATAAGATAGATAGATAGATAGATAAGATAGATAGATAGGATAGATAGATAAATAAGATAGATAGGTAACCAACATTAAAGTAGGAAGTGAATGTGTTGAGATGAAGAAGGAGTCCATAGGGAGTATGAGGGAGAAAGAGAGAGTAATAGGGGTGAATAGGATCGAAATGCATTACAGACATGTATGAAATTGCTAAAGAATAAGTAAAATCATTTTTAAAAGAAAGGAAACTCTGTGCTCTCCATCAGAGACTGGTTAAACACTCCTTGCAAGTTCAGTAGTTTCTACCATGAGCTACAAAGGGGAAGGCATTTGGAGGGGGAAGACAATGAAAGAGTAACAATAACTATTTACAATCTGATACTATATTGACACAATAGACAGCACTATCACTATTACAAAATGGCAACCTTACTAATACACTGTAATAGTGGTCGCTATAAGTAGTGATACTGGATAAGACAACCTTGAGTCTTTGTTGAGGTTTTTGTCTGAGAAATTCTGAGGATGTCTCTATCTTCTGACTGTGTCCAGGGCTTGTGTCCACTGGTGTCACCCCCAGCAGCTCTCCCAGCTCTATCTCTGACAGAAGTATCAGCTATCTCCCACCCAAGAGACACAGACATCTCTCTTCTCTTGACAGTAGGGCATTTGACTGCTTCTGAGCCTCAGGCTAACATGGGTGAGTTGCAGGCAGAAAAGGGAGAGTCAAACCGGTGGTCAGATGTCAGTTGTCTGGAGTCCAGAGTTCATGCCCCATCCAGGGTGCATCTCACAGAGTCTGTTGCAGCCCCAGGCTTCCTGCTGCTGTTTTACTGGGGCCTGCTCACCACTGAACCTTGCTGTCCACTGTCACCATGGCAAAGAAAGCAGATAACCTCTTAACACCACAGTTTCTAGAAAGCCACACTCAGCCATGACGACAGCTTTCTTTGTTCTAAAAGGAATATTTACTTCTTAGCATCGTGGTCAGGTCCTCAGTTCAGAAACTCTTCTGAGAGCAGCAGGCAAACTTCCCTTATAATTCAAGACTAGCGAACACCTTGATATTTGTAAGGAGTCAGGAAGGGGCTGCCTGAAGCTTAAACTCGAGCTTCCGTCCTGTAGTTGCACTGATTTTAATGTCTTCAAATAGTAGGACGGCCATCCTGTTGGTCAAGGCTGTGAACTAAAAGCCAGGTTTTGAAAACAAACAAACCAAAACCCAACAGGATTATACTTTTTTGTGTCATTCACCATGTAACAGCCATACTGTGTGACACACTTTGAAGTTGAATCAGCCTTTTAAAGTGTGTTCTTGTCACTGCCTTAAGTCTGTAAGCCAATACAATAAACCCAGTCCTAATTTGTAGCATTTGCAAGATTTACAAGGTGAAAATATGCCCATGCTGTGGTCTCTGAGCCACCAACAAATGAACCTGAGCAGGGAGCAGAGTGAAGCTGCCCAGCAGCCTACCCTCTTAGTACAGATGCAAATGGAAACAATTGGAGAGTGATGAACACTGAACTCTCAGTACTTTTACTGTACTTAGTTTAGCTATGCAACTCAAACTTTAAATACGGTTTGTTTAACTTCTGCTTGGTTAGTTGGGGTTTCTATTGCTGGGACGAGACATGACCACAGCAAGTCTTACAAAGGAAAACATTTGATCGGGCTGACTTACAGTTCAGAGACTTAGTCCATTATTGCCATGGTGGCATGAAGACAGACATCGTGTTAGAGAAGGAGCTGAGAGTTCTACATCTGGATCCACAGGCAGCAGGAAGAGAGAGAGAGAGACAGTGGGCCTGGCTTGAGCTTTTGAAACCTCAAAGTCACCACCAGTGACATACTTCCTCCAACAAGGCCACACCTCTTAATAGTGCCACTCCCTATGGACCTATGGGGGCCATTTTTATCCAAACCACCACAACTATCAACTTTCAGTATTTCTGAAGATTGTATATTTCTTATGGACTAATTTAAGTGGGTTCTGGACCCCC